TAACTTGTATTGTTTGTAAATATTATATATAATTAGAAAATGTTTTGTCTAAATACATTCTGTTAAAATATCCTCATATTGGGATAGGTATTTGGCACAGAGGTTAAGATACCTCTTGGGATACCTACATCCCATATCAGAGTATCTGGTTGGAGTCCTGGTTCTGCTTCCTATTTAAACTTCCTGTTAATGCAAACCTTGGGCGGTTGTGATGATGGCTCAAGTAGCTGGGTACCAGACTCCTACGTGGGAGACCCAGATTGAGCTGTAGGTTCAGTAGTGCAAGCATTTGAGGAGTGAACCAGCAGATGTCTCTATTCTCTCTGTCTCTCTACCTTTTAAATAAAATTTAAAAATAAATTAATTAATTAATTTAAAAATATCCCATTGCTTCTCGGCCGTTTGGCTAAGACCAGGTATAAAAACCTCTTCATATCATAAATTCAAAATCTTGTGGATCAATATCCTAAGAAGTAGAATTTTAGTAATGTCGCTCCCCGTCTTCATGGGGGAACGACACAGGACCCTGCCTAGGCTTCATATCCGAGTCACGGCACCATTATGTCGCTCCCCCTCTTCGTGGAGGAGCAACACAGGACCCTGCGCTGTTCTTTCATCTGCTCGGCCCTCCCCGGGTTTGCTGCTGGTTCTTCCCGGGTTGGCTACTATCCCTTCCACCTCCGTGGAAGGGCGGTTCCCCCTGGCCGCTTTCCCCACTTCCGCAGGGGAGCGGCACACCGCCGGCCGGCTCTACTCGGGGGCTGCACAGGTGTTCCTTCAGCTAGGTGTTCCCCATAGATGTTCCCGGTGCATGCCGTCTCTCTCCTCCTTTATAGTCCTCCTCCGCCAATCCTCACTCGGCTGCCCACACGCCGAGTACGCTGCTCTCCTCCAATCAGGAGCAAGTCCTACAGTTTATTAGTTGAACTGGAGGCAGCTGTGCGGAAGCTGTTTACTTCTCTCCCAACGCCACATTGTGGGAGAGCAGATGCATAGAATAAGTCTTAATTCGAGTAACTTAGTCTAGTCCGGATTGCTCCCCACAAGTAAGACTTTTTTTTCTAGACATAGTAAGTGAATGAAGACTTGGGAAACACACATTAAGTTAGAAAATCCAAAGATATAATATTTATTGGAAGGTGAACAGATATAACTGTGTTATTAAGTCAATAAGTATATTTGTAATGGGCTACCATGAGCTAAAAAAGACAGAAAAAGACAATGGAAACAATTAGAATATATAAAATGGAAATTGAGAGATATGTTATATGTTTATTATATTAAAGCTAAAGATATAATAAAAATTTATTGTAAAATTATCTTCACCTGAAAAAGAGCAACTTGTGACAAGACATGGTACTGAGCAATGAACACTTCCCAGGAACTAGGAGACTGAGTTGTCTTTCTTGTCTCCATGATGGAGTAGAACCCCAGCAACACCATATGGGTGGAATTGGGACTTCCATGTCTGTGGAATGGGATGCCCATGTCTTTCAGGATTCAAGTTCTCATTCTTTCATCCAAACACCCAAGCCCAGTTAGAAGGGAAGTAAATCCCTGGGTGGGTTGCTGGTGATAGCAGCCCCAGGATGACCCAAGAGATATTCAAGTGCATTCTCCAGGTTGCACTCACAATACTTGTGCTGGGGGAATTAGAGAACCTCTGTTTATTTAGCCGCTGACTCGTAGAGCACTGGAAAGCAGCCATGCAGTTTCATGGGAACGGTCAATGTTAAGGTGCCTGATTTCCTGATTTATTTATTTATTTATTTATTTTTTAACAGATAGAGTTAGACAGTAAGGGAGAGAGAGACAGAGAGAAAGGTCTTCCTTCCATTGGTTCACCCTCCAAATGGCAGCTACGGCCGGAGGGCTGCACTGATCTGAAGCCAGGAACCAGGTGCTTCCTCCTGGTCTCCCATGCGGGTACAGGGCTCAGCACTTGGGCCATCCTCCACTGCCTTCCCGGGCCACAGCAGAGAGCTGGACTGGAAGAGGAGCAACCGGGACTAGAACCCAGCACCCATATGGGATGCCGGTGCCACAGGTGGAGGATTAACCAAGTGATCCACGGCACCGGCCCCAGATTTCCTGATTTTTAAGATAGATTTAAATTAGCTCTTATTTTCAATTGACAGCTAAGAAAATTATTCCAACATTCCTCTAGAAAATTAAGATGAAATTGTTTTAAAAAGAGTTATATTATCAATAACTTTGAAACACTATAAAGCCATAACTATTACGATCCTAAAATAAACAGTAAGCCCTAAACAAACCTTATGATAGAACTTAACATGAAATAAAAAGCATATCTTGAAGCAACTTAATTTTTAACATTGGAAAAGTTGATGACTCAGAAAAATAATTCAAGTTAGAGCCCTACCTCATACTATTGCCAAAATAAATTTTTATAAAATGCAAGAAGCATGTGTAAGTTATCACTTAACTGCTCTCTGGAATAGGAATTAATTGGCAAGCATAAAGGGAATGGGAAAAAATTGCAAAGGAAAAGGCAGGATTGACTACATAGACTTTTACTCTCTCCAATAAAATACAAATGGTAAGTTGAAAAAAGTTGCAATAAAAGCTAAATGTACTTTATGCATAGCAAGCTTTACAAATCAATAAGAACATTATTATCTTAGTATGCAAACAAACATGGTACACAGACATCTGACATTGCCTAATAGATACCAGAAAATATGTTCTATCTCAATAGAAATTTTTAAAAAACTCAAATTAAAAGGGTACTGGGAGAAACTGCTTTTCATTTTTAAAGTCAGCAAAAATTGTTAGTATGGTTAATAACCTATGTTGATGAGAACACAGTAAGCTACCTTATACTGCTAGCCAAGGCACAATGGATACAATCTTTACGGAAAGTAATTTGGTGTTGTGGCCAAAATTGTTTTTAAGAGTCTTTTGTTTTAATTTGCTTTAAGAGCCTTTTTAAAAGTTCATGGTTCATATCCTTTGACACAATAATTGCACTTCTAAGAATCTATTTTAACAAAATAATGACATAAGTGCCAATATTTTGTTACATACCCAATCTACCAATTAATTTCTGAGTGCTGTACTGTGTTGGGCCACATGTTGGGAGTCATGGTGAATAAGACAGATAGGGCTCCTGCCATTATACAGTTTACCATCCATTAGTTTTTTTTTTTTTTTTAAGATTGATTTATTTATTTTGAAAGGCAAAGAGAGAGAGAGGGAGAGACAAAGAGATCTTCCATCTGATGGTTCACTCTCAAATAGCTGAAACAGCCAGAGCTGTGCTGATCTGAAGCCAGGAGCCAAGAGCTTCATCTGGGTTTCCCACATGGGTGTAGAATCCCAAGCAGCTGGGTCATCTTCCACGGCTTTACCCAGGCCATTAGCAGGTAGCTGGATTTAAGTGGAGCAGCTGGGACTCCAATCGACACTCATATGGGATGCTGGCACTGTAGATGGCAGCTTTGCTTGCTATGCCAGAGTGCATACCACCATCCATTAGCTTTGAGAGGACGTTTATTATGATATTTCTAGCATGGACACTCAAAAGATAATCTCAGCCAATAATAATGTAATAGGTAGACCCATAAAATAGAATATTTTTTAAAGATTTTATTTATTTATTTGAGAGGCAGAGTTACAGACAGTGAGAGGGAGAGACAGAGAGAAAGGTCTTCCTTCCGTTGGTTCACTCTGCAAATGGCTGCAACAGCTGTAGCTGTGCCGACCTGAAGCCAGGAACCAGGTGCTTCTTCCCAGTCTCCCATGTGGGTGCAGGAGCTTAAGCACTTGGACCATCTTCTACTGCTCTCCCAGGCCACAGCAGAGAGCTGGATTGGAAGAGGAGCAGCCGGGACTAGAACTGGCGCCTGTATGGGATGCCAGCATTGCAGGACCAGGATTAACCCACTGCACCATGGCGCCGGCCCCAAAATAGAATATTATAAGGGCATTAAAAGCAGCTTTGGAAAAATTGATAATGGCATAGAAAAATGTTTCCATTAAAATGTTAAAAGTGGCAAAGACATTGTGGTGCATTGGGTTAAGCCACTACTTGGGATGCCTACATGCCATGTCACACTGCTTCTCATCCAACTCCCTGCTAATGTACCTAGGAGGCGTAAATAATTGGATTTCTGCCAGCCACATAGGAGATCTGGGTGGAATTCCTGGCTCCTGGCTTTGACCTGTCTCAGTCCCAGCTGTTGTGGGCAATTGGGAAGTGAATCAGCAAATGGAAGGTTTCTGTCTCTCCCTTTGTCACGTTTTCAAATAAATAAATAAATATTAAAAATAAGCAAAAAAACACCACCACAATGCAAAACTAAATGTTATCACAATTATGTAAAAAGTATATTCATGAAGAAAAAAATATAGACAGAAAGACATGAACATTACAGCATACATGATCTCTATCTTTCCAAAAAATCAGAAACCATGGGCTCTAGTCTCAACTCCACCAGTTATTACTAATATTTGAATTGGACAAAGTCAGGTAAGCCTCATAAATTTGAACCTTTTAACTTATAAAAGGTAGTAGAAACCTTGAATATCTGTTCTGTACTTTTCATTGTCTCTTCTCTCCTTCAAATTCCTATTTAATACAATGTTCACCTCTGGGGAGATATTCTTGCCTAGTCCTCTTTGTCCCTAGTCACCTACCTTGATTCTTTGCTGCATTTATTTGTACTACATTAACCCACACTTCTTGGCTGGATATATCTAACCCAGGCATGTTTGCTGTCTTTTTCCTTTCTTCTGGAATACTTTATGCAGTGGGTGTGGACTGAGCTATTTTGAGTTTTTAGGAAATTATAAAGCCATTTCTTCATTCGGATCTTAATCCTTTGCACAAAGGGTAACAATTGAACCATCCTAAAACCAATGGATCTCTTTAGGAAAACCTCTTATAATCCTTCTGATGGATGGCATTTGGGTTTTAAATATTCTCATCAGTAACATATTTTAAGTGTAAGCCTTTCTACAAGGCAAAGACCACCCACCTGATGCCTTATGAGGCACTGTTCCCAGCAGAGGGACGTTGACAGTTGGATCTGCCATGATGCCTTTATCCAGAGAGCGCAGGGACAGGAATTCATAGAAGTATTCTGCCTGCAACAAAAGACATTGACAGTTGGTACCATGGAGACCATGGCGAGGGAGAAGGCACTTCTTAGTTCGTCATCCGTCAGACGGGAGAGTGCTCATTTTCACTCCAGGAACCCTGGAGCCCCTAAGATACTGTGTAGGCATAACTCATTCTCTGTGTTTTACGACTACAGAATTAGACGGTCTGTTTGGAGAGAAATGAACCCTTAAAAACATTAGAAACATCTATCCAAAACACTCACAAAAGGTGGTCTTTTAACCTAAACATGTAATTTAGTGGCTGCCTGTTAAAAGGATTGAGAAAAAGTACTCTTAGGGAAATATGTGATGTCAAAGAAATCACTAACTATTCCTTAGAAAACCCATCCCAGCCTCTTGGGTCATTCTTTAATTCTTTTCAAATCTGAAGTGAGTCTTTTGATCAAAATTTGGAGAGCTGTAATAAATAAGGGATAATGAAAATAGCAACCTATTTGACAAAAGAAGACATTAAAGTACAAAATGTAATGATCTTGCTGTCAACATTTATTTTTCAGCTTCATTCTCTCTGAAAGGTTTATATTTAAGGCCTCAATTTAATTACAGAGTGAAAAGCCTAAAAATGTAAAAACCACCACCACACTACAACAGGCCACAAAACTATATAATGTAAACATTTTCATATTCCTATTAAGTCTCTAGTTGAGAAAACAGTTCTTGCTACTCAAATGGCCATGAATACTGAAAGTAGTGGTGCATAATCTATGTCCCTCAGAGCTGTGATGCTTAACTGATTCTCAACCAGGCTATTAGGAGGGGCTGTGACGGAAACACATTCTTGTTTAGGCATGAAGAACAATCAGTGAACAGCATAAAGGCTCACACAAGAGTTAGGCCAAGCTGAGTAGTTTTGCAGTTACTGTGGAGATATCCAGGTAACACAGGCTAGAAGGAGGTTAAAAAAAGAATATGACTTTTCTTATACGCAGTATAAAATTTATTTTCCAATGTGGAAAATATTATGCTATACATATAGAAAATCAAAAAACTTTCCACTTAAATCACAGTATCAAATGTATTAGCCATTAAGATTTCATTTGAGTATAAGAATGCAAAAGGATAAACTCAACAGCTATAATGACACTGTGGACACTTGAAGTGAGTTAAAAAACTCTTCCTGGGTTCCCTAAAAGGAGCAGTCTCACTGACCAAGGCCCCACTGCATCTCCTTTGAGTTCTGACAGCAGTGCCAGAAGATCACCATGAACAATTCCCAAGGTAGATAACAATTTCACAAATTAATTGGTTACATTCATTTACTAAGAGGGCCCTGAGGATAAAGGGTGATAAGACAGGTCATTCTTACCCAAAAAGAAGCAAACATTTGAAAGTCTGATGAGAGTAATGTTATCAGGAAAAGTAATTCAGTTTGGAATGAATTCCTTCAAAAAAGAGAACAGTATATCTGTTCCTACAAGAAAACCAGTGATTACTGAAAAAGAACTGGTTGAGGATGGCATTGAGGTGCAGCAGGTTAAGCCACTGCTTGGAATGCCTGCGTCTCATATCAGAGGGCCTGGCGTTGAGTCCTGCTTCCATTTCTGATCCAGCTCCTTGCTAATGTTCCTGGGAGGGATAGATACTGGCCCAAGATTTGAATCCCTACCACCCATGTGGGAGACCCAGATGGAGTTCCTGGCTCCTTGCTTCAGGCTTCAGCCTGGCCCAGCTGTTGTGATCATTTGGGGAGTGAACCAGAAGATGGAAGTGTGCTTGCTTGCTTGCTCGCTCACTCTCTCTCCCTTTCAAATAAATAAAAATGAATACATAAACATTTTTAAGTGAACTAGTTTTCATGAATCTGAGTGCTACAATGACTTCAAACAGTTTCACTTCTCTCTTCATTTTACTAGGTAATATTTACCTTTTAATATTTTCTTTTCTTTCTTTTTTTTTTTTTCTTTTTGACAGGCAGAATGGACAGTGAGAGAGAGAGAGAGAGAGAGAAAGGTCTTCCTTTTGCCGTTGGTTCACCCTCCAATGGCCGCCGCGGCCGGTGCACCGCGCTGATCCGATGGCAGGAGCCAGGTACTTATCCTGGTCTCCCATAGGGTGCAGGGCCCAAGTACTTGGGCCATCCTCCACTGCACTCCCTGGCCACAGCAGAGAGCTGGCCTGGAAGAGGGGCAACCGGGACAGAATCCGGTGCCCCGACCGGGACTAGAACCCAGTGTGCCGGCGCCGCAAGGCGGAGGATTAGCCTAGTGAGCCGCGGCGCCGGAACCTTTTAATATTTTCTTCTAATACATGCTTGAGTTGGCACAATGAAAGGATTTCATGCTGAATGCTTTTATAATTAGTAACATTTGGATTACCTATATTATCAAGTAATAACAACAAGCAATAATAACACAACACAGTACAATACACACCACATGCCAAAACTTACTCTAATCATATTATTAACAGTATATATGGATAGAAAATAACTAAGGAGACATGGGGCTGGCGCCATGGTACAGTAGGTTAATCCTCCGCCTGCGGCGCCAGCCTCCCATATGGGCGCTGGTTCGAGTCCCAGCTGCTCCTCTTCCAATCCAGCTTTCTGCTATGGCCTGGGAAAGCAGTTGAAGATGGCCCAAGTCCTTGGGCTGCTGCACCCACGCAGGAGACCCGGAGGAAGCTCCTGGCTTCAGATTGGTGCAGCTCTGGCCGTTGCGGCCATCTGGGGAGTGAACCAACGAAAGGAAGATCTCTCTCTCTTTCTGTCTCTCTCTCTCACTGTTTATAACTCTACCTCTCAAATGAATAAATAAAATATTAAAAAAAAATAACTAAGGAGACAACACAAAAACAATGAAACAAAAATTTCAAATACTATATAACGTTATCATTTGCTACCCTGTAATCATATCTTTTACCTTTATCACAAATTAAATCTGCTAGTCTTCAGTGATATTCTATACTTATCACAAAATAAATTAAATCTGTCTATGATAATATTTCTAAAAACTAATAATTTCAATAAGAAGTCTGATGCTTTAGTTAAAAAGCTTTTATTAATAAGAATTAATAAGACTAGACAGACACCAAGATTAAAACAATGATTATATAGGATTAATGGTAAGTGGTTTTTTTTAAATTGGAAAGCAGTGTGTGTGTGTGTGTGTGAGAGAGAGAGATCTTATCTACTAGTTCACTCCCCAAAATACCCATAATGGCTAGGGCTGGGCCACAGCCAAAGCTGAGAGCTGATAACTCAATCCAGGTCTCCTATGTGGGTGACAGGAACTCGGTCACTTGAACCATCACCACTGCCTGAGCAGGAACTGAACCCAGTAACTCTGATACAGGACAGAGGTGTCTTAACCACTATCCCCGTGAGTTTTTTCCTTTTCTCTTTTTCAAATTTTCTATATGTGGTTCTATCCCTTCTATAGTAAAGGAAATGCAATTATTTTAAGTTAAGCATTAATTATGCACCCTGCTTTCAATTCTGTATGGTTGATGACAATCTTTGACTACGTGTATAATCCCCTGATCATGGAGGAAATACTCTCCTTGGATTTTTACTTAGTATGGCTGTGCTCATACAACAATTTACTTAAACTTCTTGCATATCTATTTGAAAAATGTGTTTAATGAAAACAACAATGAGCATTCAAGCAGCTTCTGAATGTCTCTTTCAAAAAGCTTTGCTAATACTCAAAAAAATGTGCAGCTGAAAGAATTTCAGTCAGAGACCATAAACTTGACTCCGCAGAGCTTTCAGGTCACTGTATGGCCACAGAATGAAGGTTGCAAATCAAAGAATCCATGATATTCTTGCTGAGAGTTTATCTTTAGCACTGGCATAGCTGTTTTAACATGAAACAGTTAGGTGTAATGGATTTCTTTAGACAGCCAAAATCTGATATTATCAATAACAAACTTTACACTACAGTTTTTTTTTTTAATTTAAATGTTTATTTTATTTATTTGAAAGACAAAGTTACAGAAGAGGTAGAGACACACATAGAGGGAGGTCTTCTACCTGCTGGTTCACTCCCTAGATGGCCACAACAGCCAGAGCTGAGCCGATCCAAAGCCAGGAGCCAGGAGCTTCCTGCAGACCTCCCACGTGGTGCAGGGGCCCAAGCACTTGGGCCATCTTCTACTGCTTTCCCAGGTGCATTAGCAGGGAGCTGTATCAGAAGTGGAGCATCCAGGACTTGAATCAGCGACCCCTACAGTACGGTTTTAAGCTGTCCCTTCAACTTCTTTGAGAATCAATAAACACTTTTTAAAATGCAAATCTAGGACTATCACAAGGCAGGGACTGGGTAGAACAGTCTCTTGCTTGGATCTTTTTAGCAAAACGCAATTTCCAGAATAAGCTGTTGTTTGTTTGTCCTTGTTGAAGATGATAATTGTGCTTAACCCTCTGAAATATGTAATTTCCTTCATGATTTATATTTTTTTAAAAGGTTTTAAATCCATGTACTGTTTTCATTACCTTCTTTAAACTACTTATTTCCACCTAGAAATTGACTAATTGCTTGTCTTTTATCTTAATATTGACTTCTTTGAAGGTTTCATTTTGAATGAAACAGAATAAAGAAACCAAAAATAGATTCATTTATATTTATACCCAATTGATTTTCAACAAAGACAGTGAAGACACATTAGAAAAAGGAAGGGCTGGTGCTGTCGTGCAGTGTGTTAAAGCCCCAGCCTGCAGCGCCAGCATCCCATACGGGCACTGGTTCAATCCCTGGCTGTTCCACTTCCCATTCAGCTCCTGCCATGGCCTAGAAAAGCAGTAGAAGATGGTCCAAGTCCTTGGGCCCCTGCACCTGTGTGGGAGACCTGAAGAAGCTCCTGGCTTTGGATCAGCTCAGCTCCAGCCTTCGCAGTCATTAGGAGAGTGAACCAGCAGATGGAAGATTTCTCTCTCTCTCTGTGTCTACCTCTCTGTAACTCTGTCAAATAAATAAAATAAATCTTTTAAAAAGAAGGAAAAAAAAAAAGAAAAAGGAAAGGCT